CTCGTTCACCGGGGTAAACCCCAACGTACAGGCGCCAAGATGGGGGGCAACAAGTATGCCCACTCCTGCCAAATAAGCATTTTCTTTATTATTTTAATGTAAACTATAAGAACAGTTAAAGTCTAACGTTGAGTGTTATTAAACTTGAACTTCAGTACGTGGCTGTTTGATGACTTCAGGGGACAGATCACTCAGTCTGTGCCCACATTCATGTGAACACTCATCATCACCAGCTCCACACTTCCTCCTCGGTGCCGATCCAGGCCCGGTGCTCAGAGGAAAACAGAGATCAAACAAGTGGTCACATGACAAATGAGAGCGGTGCTCAATGTTGGCCCAGTGCTCGGCCACCGGGGTTGCTGGCCTGGGGAGAATCAAACACCTGGCATTTGTCACCCCACGTCTCCCCCTTTATGACCCCTCACCCTCCCCAGCCTCTGTGGGCTAAAACTTGAAAGGCTTCTCCGTACAGCTCAGACAAAAACACAGGTTCTGTTCATGCTTAGTAATGACTCCTCTGGCTGAACGAGCTGCTCCTCCAGAGAAACATACACAAAAGAGCCACGCTTTATGCAAGAATTTCGGAGGACAAATGAAAACAGTGCTGCATTAAAGAGAACTACTCAAAAGCAGAAGGATTTAGACCTTTCACCACAAATGTTCAGCCTTTTTTTCTTATTCAAAAGCTAAAAGGATTAAAGCCCAACTCTTTGCTATTCACGGCTACATCCCCTCTTTTTCTTGAGGTGTTGTAAAACCATAAATCTTTCTTGTTTACTGTTTRGCTTTAAAGCAGCCTTTTTTATGGAGAGCTTCTCCTCCAAGTGTGTGTGAACCAGGCAACCCCCCCCCCCCCCCAAATAAAGAGCCACAGGAGATGAGTTTCTCCAGTTCTCTTCTTTAACTGGGAGTACAGAGGGGTCCTGCAGGAGTGACGCTGGTTCCTGTACATGCCTATCAGGAGTCTGGCCACACAAACACATCCAGCTGAACTTTTAGCAGGTTTATTAGGTGTCCACCCCTTTGTCCAGTCCCCTCACCCAGCCCCTATGGGCYGAACAGACCACCATTAAAGAAGATTCCCTTCCTGCTGATTCTTTGATTTTATGGTTCTTCCACACCAAAGATGAAATGACCACCAACAAATCCTTCTGCTTTCATGTCTCCGAAGCAGTGGTCTACTTTRCCACCAGCCACAATCTGACAGCTTTCCTCCAAAGTGACCTTATAGCTTAAATTAGTAGAAATGTTCACCAGCTACTTTCTAAACAGCCTCAATCATAAAAGGAACATGGCTTTGCTTATTGCATGTGTCAAACTCAAGGCCCATGAGCCAGATTCAGTCCTTTACAGAAGATAATTATCACCAGTTACCACGTCGTCTTTGTCCATGTCTGTGTTCGGTTAACAAAAATCTCAAAACTGCTAAACACATTTTAATGGAACTCTCAGAAAATAATCAGTACATGTATACCTACAACTGATGACCTGTTGGAGTAAACACAAGATGGCTGCCACAGTTAACTGACGTTAGAAAACACAAAAATGGTTACAATTCAGAAGGGCCCTATGAAATCCATTTTATTTTCCCCCAAATTTAATTTTCCCATTTTGTTTAATTCCTCTTTTCCTGTTTTTTACTTGAATCCCTCATTTTCATTCTAACCATAGCTATTAACCTAAAACGTGTGTAATTATAAAGAGACTGAAAAATAATTTTAAAATGAATAGCCACAGAATTCAACATTTAATTTCCTTTCACAAATATAACAAGCTGCTGTGGTTCAGCACAATATTAAATACTTTTGCTAGGTATTTCAAAGTATTTACCAGTCTTTCTAACAAAACATTCTTTAAATGTAAAACATAGATTCTCACATATCTCACCTGCAAAAAAATTATCCTTTTGTAAAGTAAAAATGCTTTAGAGTAGGGATGCACGATATGTCGGCATTAATATCCATATCGGCTGATATTGGTCATTTTTTAGAATATCAGTATCGGCCTGATGTGTAAAACTGGGCTGATATTAACGTCCGATATTGATTTCCCACTTTTAGCTTTGTGTTTGTGTTTTGGGAGGGGAGACGGTTGGTTGAGTGGTATCTGTTTGATCATGATAGTGATAWTGACACTGCACARCCAGGAATAAATGAAGTAGGGAGCCATGTCAGAGGTCTGGCCGTTTATTTACGATATTAAAAAAAGACCCAAGCAGGGCTCTAGACTAACTTTTTGCACTGGTTGCAGCGGTGCGCCTAACGTTTTTCCTTAGGCGCACCAGTACCAAAGTTAGGTGCACCCAAAATTTCAACCACGTCGCCTAACATCAGAGTTTTACAGGTTATTGTTTAATCACTGTTCATTAAGGCAACATTAACTCAAAATAATTAGTTAACAATCTAGTAAACATAAAGTTCTTTATTTGAACCAGAATTGTACAAGATCTATAACTTACTGAAAAGTATTTAAAGTGATTCTATAAAATTCTAAGTGCAAATGTTTAAGGGCTGAACATCTTATAAACATATTAAACATTTCATGGTTTAATTTCTTTTAGACACATGTCCCTCAGATGGACAACTCCTGTAGTTTGGCCCTCTGGATCTTTGGCCTTGGATAAACCAGAATGATGAACAGAGAATAATGATTAATAACTGAAATATTACTGATATCTATTAAAAGGTGAAGTCAATTAAGTGCAAAAGCGGACTGCCATACAGGTGAGCTTCCTCATGCTGCTGAAATGATCTGCTCACAGAGTAGACCCCAACTGTTAAATTAACAAGATGGACGAGCGAGCAACCATCCTCATCTTGTTTTTATCTCCAGCTAACAAGAAAGAAATGTTTTTCAGACTCTGATCTGGGTTAAAAAAAAAACTACGGTTGTTTCTCTATATGTACGAACGTGCGAGCGTGTGTGTGTGTGTGTGTGTGTGTGTGTGCACGGGAGGTGTGGAGCGGAGCCCGCTAGCAGTGCGCTGTGATGAGAGTGTCGGCGGGCGACCATTGATACTGCTGGATTATTTTTATGGAACATGATGAAAACTTTTAGTTTCAGCAGGCGACCACTCCTCCTGCCCCTTGAATGAGTGGTCGCACCAGTGCGACCGGACATTTTYTTAGTCGCCCTATTAGGAAATCAGGTCGCATTTGCGACCAAATTGGTCACTCTCTAGAGCCCTGCCATGTGTGCTTGTACATATCATATATAATATAATTTGTGTGTTTGTTTAATATTGGTAAATATCGGTTATTGGCCATAATAGCAATAATTATATTGGATATTGATATCGGCTGMATTTTCATATCGGCGCATCCTTACATTAGAGTTGAATATTAAATACGTCTGATAAAGATACATAAAACCTACAAACAGTAACATTTGGGCACACTTCTATTGAATACAACCCCTGGCAAAAAGTATGGAATCACCAGTCTTGGATGAGCACTCATTCAGACATTTCATTCTGTAAAACAAACTC